CTTGAGGGAATCACTGAGCTGCTTTTGTTCTTCACAGTTAGAAGGTGTGTTTTGAGAGATGTTTGAATGAGGGGTGGGTGTAGTATTTCTCCTGGGGTGGGGATGGGGTGGATGTCCTTGGGGGCGGCCCGGGGCTGTGCATGGCCGACTGGCTGGCCCCTTTCCTGTGGTGGGGGCTCGCTCCCGGTGCTTCCTGGCTCTGTCGGCGGTTGGGCGGGCGCTCTTGGCCGGGTCGTCCTAGTGGGGTTTGGCTTCATCTGGTGGCGGGCTGACTGTGGTTTGTGGGGGTCCTGGCGGCCCTCAGGTGTGTAGGCTGCTGGTACTGCTTCTGGCGGCCCTTGGGGCTCTGTCCCTCTCTGGTCTGGAGCTCAGCGGGCCTGGCGGTCGGTCCAGATGGAGAGGTGTCTTGGCCTCAATCCCTGGGTGGACCTTGGGGAACTGGGGGGGGGACCCTATAAATTAGTAATGACACAGGACTTCGAGGCTCTTCCGGGTCTGTGAACGCATCACAGTCCGGAGAGTCCAGCGCTGTAACTTGTAGTCTTTTCCTGCCTTTTTTAATATAATTGATAAAACTTAATTGATGTTTCCTTGATTTATTTGTTAGCATGAGTTGCCACTTCTGAGAGAGGTTCGAGCCGAGGGTAAAGACGTGGGCTGGAGGGGGGTTCCGGATCCGGTGGCCCGCAACCAGCTCACGTCTTTAACAGTACGTTTTGTCTTTCATCCGAAAGACTTCCTCAGTCTGAGGTGCTGTATTCAGCTCAGTTTTATAAATAGCACCTTCTCAGAGTGGATCAACCAGTTTGTTGCTGACAACCAAAACCAGCTGATCACATGCTCAAGAAGGACCATCAGCCTAACGATGGATCATTAGCACCTGATGGCTGTTTACTGTTCACAGGGGGTTGAGTGATACTAGCAATCACAGCATTGTAAGAGGGGGACAGTTGAACCCGGAGGCTCCACCCCTGTTTAACAATGGACGGTTTCTTTTCACAAAGATGGCCTCCTTTACTCCACTCTCAAACCATCGTTCCTCTCTATTCAGGATGTGAACATCTTCATCCTTGAAAGAGTGACCGCTGGCCTGGAGATGAGTGTAGACCACAGAGTCCTGGCCTGATGATGTTGATCTTCTGTGCTGGTCCATCCTTTTGGCCAGTGGCTGTTTAGTTTCCCTGATGTAAGACTGATCACCCTCCTGACACTGAACAACATACACAATATTACTCTGTTTGTGCCAGGGGACTGGATCTTTGGGATGAACCAGTCTTTAATGTATTTTGGGGTTTAAAAGCCACTGGGACGTT